AAAACATTAAATTTTTTTGTTGTTGTCGAAACCGTGTTGTATTTATGTATTGTATACTGGCACAATGAAGTGACTTTTCTTCAACACTAGGTAAGTTTCAATCTTTATTCTAACTGAATAAAGATTGAAACTTGCCTAGTGTTGAAGAAAAGTCACTTCATTGTGCCAGTATACAATTAAATTTTTTGTTTTATTTAGGGAATTTGAATAAATCTTCCAATTTCCATCCTAAAAAATATTCTCATCATCTCAATTACTGGCACGAATAAAAGAAATTTGTAAATGGGAAGAATAAAATTTAAAAAATGTCTCACAAAGTTGGATTGCACTGAAATCAAATGGGGTGATTTCAGTAGAGTAAAGTCTTGTCGTATGGATGTGGGTCTTATCTACTAATTCCATCAATCCATTTTGTTTTTTAGTTTTTGAGAAACATTACGGATAGAAAGATAGACGGACGATTAAAGTTAATATAAAAGTTTTTAATTGCTTTAAAAGCTATATTAGATTTCCTTTATGGTTACGAATTTCTATGGTACACTTCACTCTTTGTTCTCTCGTTCTATTCACTTAGTGATTCAAAGAGGGAAACTTTTATTTTGATGGATTCTATATTCCGAGTGAATAAAAATATTTTAAAGTGCTTAAACTTTGCACATTTTCAAGAAAATATTGAAAATTTTCTGAATAATAAAGTGCCCTGAGGCTTTAAGTTTGTTAAGATAATATCATCATCATCACACACTTTAAAATTACTGCTTGTAATGCATTTATTATTAATTTACAGCAAGGAAGAATTTATTATTATGCTAACAAAATGAAAATAAATTAATGGTTAAATATATTTAACCATTGTTTTCGTTAATTTATTTTCATTTAAATATTTGCATTAAGAAAAAAAAAGGGGGGAGGAGGATAAAAGTTCATTGACTTACTTGACAGCTTAAATTAAAGTTTTCACATCAATAAATATTTAAATTTTGATTTTTCTGGGGAAAAATTAGGAAAAAACCTTTATAAATAATCGAAAAAACAATTATTGAAATGATGAGATTTACTACAGTAGAGCCTCGATTATCCGACCCCCGATTAACCGACACCTCGGTTAACCGACCATCCTAGTCGGCAAATTTCATATGTCCGCTAGTGATGTGGCGCTACAATATTTGGCTATGTCTTGGCTACTTTAATATTATTTTTACGTGGTTTACCTGGCAACACTCATTCGATCATGAAAGGGAGCCAGTATTTAAACGAGGCTTAATTTTCTAATTTTTAACGACACAATAGCGACGATTATTATTTTAAAAAATTTTTGTTAGGCTTCACATCGATGAAAATTCAACGCGAAGTAGATTAATAGCGATATAATAATATACTAATTACATGAGATTTAATAGTATACTACACTAATAATGGATTTTTTCATACTTTTCGGTTATCCGACTTTTCAATTATCCGACCAACCCCAGTCCCCAATTGAGTCGGATAATCGAGGCTCTACTGTACTTTAAAATCACATTGAAAATTCTTCAAGAAGGTACCTCTTGGAGCTCGCATTCATCGTCCATCAATGCTAACTGACTTTTGGACCACACTAAATTTTAAATTACAAGAGTAAAACTAGTTTATTGTATTAAATTCAATCAGAGAAAATAATAAAACAAGAAAATTATAGCAAATAAAAATCATAAATTCGTTTCCCTTAATCTAACGACTCTACTTAAAGAAAAAATATATATATTTATTGGAATATTTTGTAAGTATTCCAATTCTCCAAACTTACTCTCTTGTTTTTTTATATATATGCATCACTTACAGGGAGAGATTTATGCAGAAAAATCATTACAGAAAGGCTCAATATTGGACTAAATCTCCTACATGTTTACAGAAATTGGTAATTACTAATGTTATAAAATATTTATAACTGAAATTACTCGTGAGGAAGATGTTGATCGATGAGACTTTCTTCGTTATCTACAACAACTAGCTACAAACTGTAAAATAATATCTTCTATCATTATACACGAAATTTTGGATGAAATTAGGTCAATTGTGTTGTGATTTGTGATTAATCTTTTATATTAATGATTTCATTTACACCGGATTTGGATGATTTTGAGTTTTTTTTTTTTTAATTAAATATTACTTAATTCGTTTACACGTTAATTAGTGTAGTTAAATAATACCAATTTAGTTAACATGTATTGTCAATATGATGCCACACTCATCATTCTACACCCCTGTTGGAACGTGTCTGTTCGTAAGTTCTCGACCAACGTTACAAGAATATTAATTCTTATTTCTCTTCTAATATAAAATTTAAATTCTTATAGAAAAGGCACGTTGCATCGGAATACGTAATGTTATTCATATTGACCAAACGGTAAGGAAGGAAGATCGTTGAATGTAAAACCAAAGTAAACAATAAAAACATTTTAAAGTTCGAGCCGTTATTTAAGCACACCATAGTGCTTTAATAACGACTAAAATTATAAAAGGAATATACGTAACCATGTGTATTATCTTTTATGGTGGATGGGGAAACAATAATAAAGTATCAATGCAAAAGTTGTGGTACAATCAAAGTAGGATCCCCTTTCTAAAATCTGTGTCCAAAAGAAAAAGAAAATGGCTCTTACTCGGTTTGTTTAAGCCCCTATCAAAACTTCTATTTTACTTGGAGTTGGCATCAGAATTGTGCCATTAGATTTTATGTGATATAGTAATCTATAGTTCCAGTTTATCTTTTATTATGGCACTAAAATAATTTTATTACAGTATATATATATATATATATTATATATTTTATAATAAAGCCTGTAATTACATGTTCAAAACTTATTTTGAAAAATACGACTTCGTGTTAACTTTAATTGTATTATATAAGATAATATGATTAAAATTGAAATCGTTTATTGAACTTAATAGGAAATGTCTAATTACAGTCGACCCCTCTATAACACTGTTGATTTTTCCGTTTCATATGAATTCCATGTTATACGAGTCACTTAGATTTTACAAATACGTGTGCCGGGCTGTGAACGGCTCACGTATTTGTAAAATCTAAGTGACTCGTACAACATGGAATTCATATAAAACGGAAAAATCAACAGTGTTATAGGGGGGGTCGACTGTATATGTATTAATCTCTTGTAATTTTGCATTTTTATCAATAATTTTGATGTTGTTTGAATAGACTGATATTTATATTTTGAAGGTTTTCTGCCAGATTGTAATGATATGAAATTTTGCTTATTAAAATAATGACAATACCCAGTAAAATAAGTCTTCATTTTCCTACATCTAAACAGGTGAAAACGAATACTCTATCCTGAATTTCATACAAGTTTCATTCGTTTCTATATGAAACTAGCTGCTTGTGCCCTGTGTTGCTCATGCTTTTGAGGGGCGGGCGATTGGTTTTGTTTGGAAGAAGGTGATGAAAACAATGACCTTAGTAACCAAAATATACATTTACTGACTACAAAACAGCAAAAATTTCTGGAACATAAGTTAAGAGTGGGCTTTACACGTGCTCGGGAGGGACCCACAGTATTTTTTTTATGGTAGCATGAATATTCGTGCCAAATTTCGTGAGGATATGCTAGAACTCTTCACCTAACATACAAATTTTGATGTGTATATAAAATTTATAGATTAAAACTAAATTATTAAATAATTATAAGCAGTAGAACACTGATTAGGATCACTCTACCTTTCGTATAGAGTGATCCTCATCCATTTATTAATCTCTAAAGTAATTTTTTTAAATAAAAAAAAAATAGTTCTGAGTACGATCTAATTGATAATACTTTACTCATACGTGTAATTAAAATGAATCTAAACCATTTATTAATATTTTAGAATAGTAATTATTAAATTCAGTTATGATTTCTATTATTTATTACTTTTCGTTGCATTTATAAATAATAAATAAAAATCTATGCCTTTATAATTTTGATAAGTCTATCACAACGTTAACACAAAATATTAATGCATAAATTCGGTAAATGTCATTCATACTTAATGTAATTAGCTGAATTTTCATTGGTCGATTGACGGGTACACGTCATTTTCGATATTGAATTAGACGCCATATTTGAATTATAAACAAAAAATAATAAAGAATTTTCGGATTAAATATCTTTATTAATCAATATATTTTGAAAAATATATCTGTGAGTAAATAAATAATACGTACGAACTTTATAGATGGTAGCATTATTATTATTATTTTTTTTTTTTCGTTGCAATATAGTTTATTATATGATGGTATTTTTTTGACAATAAACTATTATTTCTACTGTACCGACTTTCCAATTTATTTAATTGAAAACCCCCTTGTGGGCATTCAATTAAATAAAATGGGCATCCTGTACGAAAATGCCTTTGTTTTTCTCTTTAAGCTAAAAACTGCAATTAAGACAGAATGTTATCCCCAAATTACACACAAGTTTTATAACACAGTCACTTGGATGGACTACATCACATAGATCTCATATAGAGTATCCATGTAGAACCCGAAATAAAATTATACCATAGACTTCTCATCAGTTCTTTTTAATATCTTTGAAGACTTTGCATGGTTCTTTAACGATAAACAAATCCATCTTGCAAAAATCTGATTAAGAAAAACATTGCAATGGAATGGAGGAGGATTTTTTTTTTTTTTTAAATCTCTTTTTCTTTTCTTTCCTGAAAGAAAATTAAATCAGCAAGTAGCATAATTTGAATACGAATGATTATTAAAGGGCGTTTCTAGAATATCCGATGCTAATGAATAAAATTATGGTAGCATCCTGCAATACGTCACATTTTCAAAAACAGTTATCTATCATCATCAGGAAAAAGTCATGAGATGGTACCGTTAATCAGATTTCCAGTAGAGACGATCGTTTTTAATGAAAAACTCAGTGGGTGTTTTTAGCCAATGTGATACTGGTAGTTAGTTAATGACGCGTACTGTGATTAATGATGGCCGTTTTTCTCTTTTCCAGGGTTGATCACTACTACGAGTAGACGTCTGGACAGGGAACGACAAGCTGAGCATGTTTTGGAGGTAAGTTTGAATGGTTACACATCACTAACGATTAAAAAAAAATTATATATATATATATATTAAATTTCAAGTGAATTTTCTCTTAATCATTGCTGAATTATATATTACNTTAAAATACTTATTTTGTATATTATGTGATGCATGTAATTTAAATTATCTATACATGTATAGGTGTGTTTTTCATTATATGCTTCACAAAGCAAATAACTAATAATTATATCGTCCTTTTAAAATGTTATTTTGATGAAAGTATAGTGATTTAAATATAAGAAAAATGATTTTTTTAGTATAGAAAATCTTTATTTAAAAAATATATACATATAAATAATTAGAAATATTAATTATATTTGATGTTTTCTACCCCTAGAACTCTAGCAAATAAAATATTTCTCAACACAGTATAAAAATTGCATGTTTTAGATTGTACTGTTACTACATATATATATATATATAGAATAATATTAACTGTATTTTCAATAATTAATAACTATTGTATTATAAAGTAAAACAAAGAAAAACAGACATATTTCCAGTATAAAACGGTAAAAATATGATAATCATATAAAAAATTCATAATTTTTCTTCATAAAATTCATTTTAAATATTCATTATGAATATACAATTAATTTACATAATATGTTTGTTATATACAAAGTTGATAGAAAACATTTTTCAAATTTAAATCTCATTTATTCTGTATTGTATTCGCTCTTATTTGCCTTCGGAAATCTCAGAAATATTATAAAACAAACAATAAACATCCATATAATTTATATTATTACTTTATTAACTTAAAATTAGAATTTACAATAGCAGAAATAATTAAATTTTCTTCAATTTATTATATTTTTATTTCAAATCAATTTAGGAATTTGATGTTCTTTCACCTTCTACATTTTATTTAACATGTTTTCCCCTTATTTATAAAAGAAAAAAGGGGGAGGACCTGTTACAATGTCTTCTATGTATTACTACTATACAGGAAGCATATTTCTTTAATAACTCTCTCTCTCTCTCTCTCTCTCTCCTCCATATTAAACACCGTTCTTCTCCTTAATTCTGTGGTGGATATATGGAATATTCTCAATGGTTATTAATTAAAAATTTAATTTGCATCACTAAAATATTTTTAAGAGGAAGATATTAAAATATTTATAATAATAATTATTAGAGTTTTTCTTGTCTCTTATGCATTTTGGGATTAAATATTTGCTATTCAATGACATCTTGAACATAAATTTAAAGTGTTTACTCCTCTCTCTCTCTCTCTCTCTCACTCTTTCTTTCTTTTTATCCTTCCTATTTTAGAAAGGAAAAAAAAAGTATTCCTTTCAAACGTTGAATAATTAAGTACTAGTGTATATCGATGCTTATACTACTTCCTCGTGCCGTAAATGATTGATGCAGTCGTAAATTAAGAGTTGATGAATGAAGGATAATAAAATTTGTTGCCGTTTTTATGTCTGTGAAAGTACTTTATTGCATTTTTGTCTCGAAGGTTATAGTTTAAAAGTTTTCGAGTATAGTAATTACCGAAAATGGTGGTACTCTCTGTTTATTATTGATATTACTAGAACCTCTGCTATCTTTGAAATTTTATATCAATACTCAAAGGGATATTTTAATCGCTATTTACTTTTACAATTTTTATTACAAATTTACAGCATAATCAGTGTTTTGTTTGCAGTTTCTATAAAATTTATTGTTATGAGAATTACATTTGAAGTACTGTACAAGTAGTCGAGTTACACGGGGGAAAAAAGAAAGAAGTTTAATTGAATCTTTTTTAAGGATTTTTTTTTTATAAAACGTAAAAATTGTATTTTAAATCATAATTTATTTATTTTTATCCCCTTTATATAAGAATATTTCTTTTTAAAATCTATGTATATAAAAATAACAGCTCCTTTCACACTAGAAGAAATGAAAGAATTGAATTCTGTTTGTTATATATAATACATTCTGTTTTGTCAACTTGTTTTTCTTTCATTTCTATAATAAGATATTGTGGACTTATACTTGATTTTGATAACAATTTGTAGGTATTGAAAGTTTGTGTATAGGCCTATATATTTTTTTTTTATTGTTTGGTAAATTGTACAAATGAAAAACTAGTCACAGTGTACTTGTTTATCTCCTACAACAAATACATTTTTCATATAATAAAATATGTTTGTGTGACAAATCAACAGGACTATCTTCCTCCTTAGAGACTGATTTTATATATAGAAAATGTATTAGTTTTATTGGCAGATGTGTCCATGTAAAATCTGATTCTTCTTTGTTCCTGATCACATATTTACGATAAAAGGTCGAGAGGTGGCATTCAAAAAAGTTTGGGAGCCCTTGTTATAGTTAGATGTGATCATCTTTCATTAGACAAAAGTACCATGATCCAGGCTATTTTATTTTTTTTTTTTTGTTTTTGGTAATGAATGACACTAAATGCTGGTTTACACGATATAACTACTGCCGACATTTTGTTGCAGCAAGCCAGATTTGTCGGCGATTTAGTTGTTTACACGATACGCTTGATACGACTTTCGAGTCTTCTGAGCATGAGCAAGAACGTTTTTTCCACTGAGAAGAGAGAGAGAGAGAGAGAGAGAGAGAGAGAGAACGCTATATAACACGTGATTTCGATCTTGTCATTGATTGGTTAGACTATCAAAAAAACTAATAAGTCGGGAGTTTTTTTCTGTACATATTGCGATTTCGAACTGCAAAATGTCGGCGATAGTCTCAACGTGTAAACTAGCCTTTAAGTCATAAACTATACAACAAAATAACAAAAAAGAATTTTATTCCATTCATTGTAACAAATCATAAATTTCGTTTCTGTTTGGCACACTTATTTTCCGCGCAAATGAAATTGTTTATGGCACAACATTTAAAATAACAAAGTAATCTAGATGCCACCATCGATACTCTATTTTTCTGTGTTTCCCGTGTGTATTTGTACGTGCTCTTTTCACTGTACTTCAATCGGAAACAAAGACGAATCACTGGTCTTTGTTTCCGATTGAAGTACAGTGAAAAGAGCACGTACCTGAGAAACAAAAAGGAGTAGATCGTCTTGGTTTCTCATACAATCTCATACAGCATAGTTTAAATAATCCATAACCGAAAATTTTAATGGTAAAAACATGAAATTTGTATTCCCATGGAAATTTCAAACGTTTTTTTTTTTCGTTTTAACAGGCCATATTATACACGATCAATCAAAAATGATGGCACTATCGACTCGTTGGCAATGCCTGGCTTATACCAAAGTATATATTAATGTGAATTGACATTGTTTGTTTACATTTACTTATTATAAAAGTGAATGACGTCAAACTGACGTAAAAATACACGTTATTCAACCGATGGAAAAGATTTATTATTAATAACGTCATAAAACTTACTGCATTCTGACATTTCGAAAATAAAGTGGTATTTGATGGATATTTATGTAAACAAAATATATATTATTTTCAATAGAATGAATCTTTTATGCTTGAAAATTTTCCTTGGTATTGTATACAGTATAAAAAACAGAAAAATTTCACAGTTTATATTTCTAATAGTTCTTTATCTATGTGTACTGTACATCAATTTGTTAATATTAAAACAAGTATTTATATTTAGAAAACATGTTATTCTTGAAATGTACACTTACATTAACATTTAAATTTGTTACAAGTTGAGTAAATAACTTCATTTTAAGAATATAAACATCAATTTTCCTTAATCTTATTTATTATATGTAAAAAAATCTATAAAGTATTCAAATAAAATAAATATCTTCCTTGCAGTTTATACAGTATTTATATTATTTATTTCAGTTAACTTCTATAGAATCTTTTCTATTTCTTTACTTTGAAAAATGGTTGAACTTTCTTTCATTAAAAGTAAAATAAACATTTATATTTTAACTATTCTGCTTTGGGCATTGAAGAGCAACTTAATCCCTTCATTATTCTATTTTAATTTAACTTTTATTAACAAAACCTGAATATTTTGCACACTCATTTTATTTGATTAAACTAAGAACTCTTAATATCTTTTCAGGATGGGTAAAATTTTATATTTATTATCTTGTTTTAATGAGAAATAATAATGTTTAAAATATTTTTTAATGTTATGAGTTTAGTTTAATGGAAGAAAAAGAAATTTGACTTACTTTATTAAAAACAAATAATTTTTTTTTCCCTTTAAATAAGATATTTCATTCAGAATTTTTTAATTCTTAAGTCTCCAATCTCATTTAATATTAAGTATAGCCTGAAAACTTGATATCAGTTCTCCGCTTCTGCAAATAATAGCAATAAATTTATAAATTAATTAATATAAAATTAATTTTTTTTTTTCAGGTAACAGTTAATGATATGAAAGAACCACAATTATCTTCTACTACCAGAGTTGTTGTATCAATTGAAGATGTAAATGATAATGATCCAACATTTTTGGGTCCTAATCATCGATGTTATGTTGTTGAAATGCAAGAGCAAGCAAAAGATGTCCATCTTTGCCAAGTATGATTTTAATTAATAACAAAATTAATTAAATTTGTATTGAAGAAATTATTTTTAAAATAATATAAAAGCATTAGAATTCATAGGGATACATTTATATATAAACTAACTCTTTTTTTTTTTTATTCTTTTCATTCTATTGGCAGTTTTACAGGCCCATAGTAGGTTCATTAAGGTCCACATGTGGCAGCCAGGTGATTAGAAAGGGGGCCCCAATATAACCAATACAGAAACTCCCTTGAAAAATTCCTAGGGATTTTTACCCATCCGTCCAGATTTGATCCTGGGCGCCTTGGTGTTGTAGGCTTCCTTAATCATCTTAGCAAACAAATATAAAAATCTACAGTTTAGGGCCTCATACTTTTTAATTTATTATTATTTGATAGAAGAGAATAGTCTCTTACATGTTAAAGTGTAACAACACAATAAGCCATGAGAATCAGGACAGGTACAGTGTCCTGTCAATTAACTTGGCTGTATATTTTACCTAAAAATATAATGTTGACATTGATACATAAAAATTCTTATGTAATTGTGGTGTATTTGTCTACATATTCCCTTTTAGTTATGAATTGTAATATTTTTATTTACATTTTCTTGAAAATTTTGAATTCTAGATGGACTGAATTGTTTTATAATTTCATAAAATTATTAAACTATATTTGATAAATATTATAGGTATACAAAATTAATTTTTTCAAAAAAATTACAGCACCATATTTGAATTTTTTGAATATATCTAACTGTTAATATAGAATGTTTTTAATTAGAAATGTTTACAATTTTTATTATTTTATAATTCAAAACATATGTAATTTGTACAGAGTTTATTTAAGCACTAAAATATTTCTGAATGATCAATAATACATTTGAAATTAATTATCCATTTATAATTCCTCTAATTAAATAATTACCAATTCAAAATATAATTATATTTATTATTTTTAAAATGCTGATATTGTTATTTATTTATAAAATAAGCAATTACTATTTGTTAAATTGCATCTTAATCATTTGCCACCCTTATGTATTAAATTACAAGTGTTGATGAACTCGGCAACTGATTAAAAAAGTAGCTGAAAGTGAATAAAAATTAACTTACTGTAATTAATCTAATTAAAATGTAAAGAATTTTAAAATGATTCAACTCAACTTTAAACTATTTTTGTTGTTTATTAACTAATTATAGGAATACAGTGTCTTGTACTTGAAATACGTATTTATTCTACATATGAGTGGTATTTTTTGAACACATATAACAATCCATTTAATTCCTAATTATCCTACTTGAATAAATGATTTACTTGAATAAAGTTTTAAATTTAAATGTTGTTTTATAATAGTTAGTATGACGAAGCCCTTGCATAAATAAAAATAATAGACTATATATACACGCACACATATAAAGGGTCTTTCAATATGAATGCTACCATTTTAATTATATTAATTATTATCTGAGAAGTATGCAATGTACACTGATCAATAGAGTAACTGTCTGAATTTCATTTCCCATCTGCATTCGAATGTCTTTTTCTCTACTGACTCAAGGAAGTACCATAAACAAACATGGCAATCTGCAACAGAGAGGGCATTTTGTGTTCTGTAGTTTGCAAAGTTTGAATCACTCATCATTACTGTGGGTGGAGTGGAAATGAATATTCTATACATTCGACCTCCCTATAACACTGTTGATTTTTCCATTTTATATGAACTCCATGTTGTACGAGTCACTTAGATTTTACAAATACACAAGTCGTTCACAGCCCGGCACACGTATTTGTAAAATCTAAGTAACTCGTACAACATGGAATTCATATAAAACGGAAAAATCAGCAGTGTTATAGGGGGTCGAATGTATACAATTTATGAAAAGAATAGAGTTAGAAAAAAGATTTAAATGGGATAAAAAAAATATNATTTGCCACCCTTATGTATTAAATTACAAGTGTTGATGAACTCGGCAACTGATTAAAAAAGTAGCTGAAAGTGAATAAAAATTAACTTACTGTAATTAATCTAATTAAAATGTAAAGAATTTTAAAATGATTCAACTCAACTTTAAACTATTTTTGTTGTTTATTAACTAATTATAGGAATACAGTGTCTTGTACTTGAAATACGTATTTATTCTACATATGAGTGGTATTTTTTGAACACATATAACAATCCATTTAATTCCTAATTATCCTACTTGAATAAATGATTTACTTGAATAAAGTTTTAAATTTAAATGTTGTTTTATAATAGTTAGTATGAGGAAGCCCTTGCATAAATAAAAAAAAATAGACTATATATACACGCACACATATAAAGGGTCTTTCAATATGAATGCTACCATTTTAATTATATTAATTATTATCTGAGAAGTATGCAATGTACACTGATCAATAGAGTAACTGTCTGAATTTCATTTCCCATCTGCATTCGAATGTCTTTTTCTCTACTGACTCAAGGAAGTACCATAAACAAACATGGCAATCTGCAACAGAGAGGGCATTTTGTGTTCTGTAGTTTGCAAAGTTTGAATCACTCATCATTACTGTGGGTGGAGTGGAAATGAATATTCTATATATTCGACCTCCCTATAACACTGTTGATTTTTCTGTTTTATATGAACTCCATGTTGTACGAGTCACTTAGATTTTACAAATACACAAGTCGTTCACAGCCCGGCACACGTATTTGTAAAATCTAAGTAACTCGTACAACATGGAATTCATATAAAACGGAAAAATCAGCAGTGTTATAGGGGGTCGACTGTATACAATTTATGAAAAGAATAGAGTTAGAAAAAAGATTTAAATGGGATAAAAAAAATATTTATATTTAGACATTCCCATATTCACTTTGTTGTAGATAAGAAATTACATTCATTCTTATTAATTGTTTTCTTATATTAATAATTTAAGTTATATTAAAATAAAGATTTGTATTTTGTTTTTTAATTAGCATTTAGTTTAAGATAACTATATTTAATTTATATTTTATTCAAGAAAATTTTTCATTTAGGTAATTGCAATAGATAAAGATGAAGGCGTAAACAGCAACATAGATTATATCATCACAGAAGGAGATATGACAAGATTTAAAATTCATCTGAAATCTGGTAGTATTTATTCTCGAAAAGCTTTCCAGCCCGGTCAGACATTTGAATTAATGGTGATTGCACTTTAAATATTTGTAATTTATCACTTTATCACTCACTACAGCAAGTTGTTAATTATATTTAGTACATAAAAATGGTCTTGTGCAAAGTATTATTAAATGATACAGAAATTGTTGTTAATTATATTTAGCATATAAAAATAATTTTAAAATATGTTTTAGAATTTATATTAAATAATGATAAAATATTTTTAGTAATTAATGTCTAAATATCTATTATAGTCAATCATAATTAAGGCTGCAATTTTTCATTGTTGTTAATGAACTATGTTATATTTATGACATTGATTGAAGATGTCTATCGCTATTAGTGTAAATATTGCTTTCTACTGTCTGTTAAGACATAAAGCACTGAGAAAATTAACATTAATCGCGTTAACATTACATTAAAAATAATATTTAAAAAAATTAGAGCTTATTTTTAATTAATTTAAAAGGTAAATTAAATAAACTTTTACTTTTAAGTAGTATTAAAAGATAAAATAATACTTTTATTAAGTAATTTCCATTAGTTTGATTTGTTTTATTAATTAACAAGCAATTTACATCATTGACATTATTCTCTTCTACAATTCTTTAACTGTGCTTGCGATAATGCTAACCATACAATTGATTGTGATATTTATCAAGGGAAATTAATGAATATGTAATTATTTTCTTGAATAGATTAAAGCGTCTGATAATGGAACGCCACAAAGATCATCTGTTGCTAGAGTTATTATTGAAGTGGTACCGCTGTACAGATCATCTCGTCTTCCAGTTTTTCAAGATGTTGATTCTCATATTGTTGTGACAGAGAGTGATAAAGTGGGACATTTGGTTACTCTAGTGAAAGCAGAGCACACAGAAGGAAGAAGGCTCTGGTATTCTATACTGGGTATGTAATTGTTCAAGAAACAATTCTGATTTTATATTTATCAGTTAATTCATAAAAATTGGTAATGTTAAATCAGTAGTTATTGTTTAAATTTTCAAACATTCTCATAATTCACGTGAAATAAAATATTTTGCAGTTGGTAAAATTTATAGTTTCATTCAAAACCACAAAGTTTTCTCATTCATTGAATTAATTTTATCAACAAATAGGAATATATTTTTTTTATTGTAAATGAAATTTTCAACTGCAGATATTCATATTGATGATAGATAATACCATTAAAGTCTAACAATTTAAAATTAATATTTGTAATCTCATAAAGAACAGACTATTAATACTTTTAAATCAGAGTGGATAAGAATCATTTTTCTTTCCTCTTATAAAGAATCAGAAAATAGAATGGGGATGGGCAATTTTTGGTACGTCTGCCAAACATGACACGCTGACAACTTTTTCCAGCATACAACCCAGGACTTACCTTAAAAAAATAAATATCCAACATTTTTGCTGAGTTGTATATTTTAATTTAATAATAGAATACAGTTTTCTTGAGTAGAATGATACTAAATAAAAATATAATAAAGAAACAAACACTATCAGCTGCTTTACTAATAATAATAACAAAATGAAACAAGCATCTTATTTCCAAGATATCTTCTATCTCTGCAATACATATACTGACTTAGTAGAAATTAGCCAATTGAGTAAAAAATCTGCTAAATCTAGGTTCCTTTACCATTGTCTAGTTACTAAACCAAATAATATTATGCTACTAAAACTTTCACTTGATACATGAGAAAATTTTACATCACAGATTTAACGATTTTGGCACACATTTAAAAAAAAAAGTGCCCACCCTTGAAATAGAATTTGACAAAACTGAATTACCTTTGATCTTGATGGCCTATTTGTAATGAACAAAATTTAGGTCAGCAATATATTCCATAATACACTGAAAGCCTCACAAGAGGAAAAGTCTTTGACTTGGAAATTTCGATATTAAAAATAAAAACAGCCTTTTCCAAGAATTTTACAATTAAAATATATATATATATATAATTTTCTCAAACTTTAATTTCAAATACATTATTCTAATGTATTTGAAATATGAGACGATAGCCAGCTTGTAGAAGCTTATAAACTTTTACTCCATCAAGACTTTTTCAAAATTACTATTAGATTTTACTTTTTTACCTTGCGTAACGAATAAAACTTGCGCACATTAATTTAAAATCTGTTTCTTAACAGCACTAGACAATATTATATTTTAAATTATATTAAAAGACTCAGACATTTACACTCACTCTAATGCTGTTTTACCAAGTTAATATCTAATAATGTGTTATTAATTAAAATATTATTTGCATAGATTATGCACTAAATATATTAAATTGTTCATCAATGCATTTAAATTGAAAATAATTAACAAATTTATAAGTCATGCTTTCATTCTACATTTTACAGATGGAAACGTGAATGATACTTTTATTATTCAACCTAATACTGGTGCTGTACTTTTGGCAAAGAAACTAGATTGGGAAACAAAATCAAAATATAGCCTTAAAATTGGAGTTACAGATGGAATTTATAATAATACTTCAGTTGTAAGTAAATTTAAAAAAGAAATTACTAATTTATTTAATTTTACTTTAATACAATAATTTTAACTAAACACTTCATATTAATGAGGAAATCAAAATAAAAACATAAGTAATTTATCTTGTGATTTAATGATAAATGTTCATTTCTTTAAAATATATATTAAAATTTAACTAAATTTTAAAATCTGTTTTAATAAAGGAATATTGATTTGCCCGAAAATTACGATCTTCAAAAATTCATCTCCTGTAATAACCCGAACAATATAAGCAAAGGCCAAATTTTGTAGTTAATCAGAAATATAAATTGCCAAATTATTTTAAGTCTATATTTTTAAGTTAATTAAACTTAAAATATAGCTCAAAAATGATCTGGTGCTTACTTTTAGATCAAATATATTTTGTGTTAATTAAACTTAAAATATATTTGGGTTAAAGGTAAATGACTCAACTGTCAACCTGTAGGTCTAATTATATTGTTTAATTAATTACTGAATCTAATCCAAAAATAATCTGAAAATTTAGCATTGCGATTAATCTCTGACAATTCTTTACAATTTAATTTTCAAATAAACAAAATAAAAACAGCTAATTTTGAAATTTATTTCGTATGAAGCGTAAATTCCTTTGATTATGAATTGGATTTCAATTTATGTAAATTGAAATCTGTGAGTGTTTTTATTTCGAAATCTCAAGAGCTTATAACTTGTCATTATATAATAAATCATTGAATTACTTGAAAATTAATACAGATTAAGAAAGTGGCAGGTTTCAATGAAAGTTATAAAGTTTGTTATTAAATTAAGATTAATTAAGCAAACTTAGATTAAAATTAGAAGTGAACAATACTACTATTTACTCATATTTAATACTTTTGGGAATGCCCCATCTTAAGAATAAAGCTGTTTATGTAACAAACAAACAACACAATCAATGGGGGGCATGTACTAAATAAACAGCAATATTTTGACATTTAATTTTAAACCTCATTTATCATTAAACTAATATTTCATTAGAATGGAAGTGATGTGTAAACTTTACAGTTCTTAAAATACAATTTTTTTATGTTGCATCCTCATTGTATGAAAAGTATTATTTCTATAACTATGAAGTAAAATATGTATTTATTTTTTATATAAATGATTAAAATGTTTGAATATTTAAAAAATATATATATATATATATATATATATATAATTTTCTCAAACTTTAATTTCAAATACATTATTCTAATGTATTTGAAATATGAGACGATAGCCAGCTTGTAGAAGCTTATAAACTTTTACTCCATCAAGACTTTTTCAAAATTACTATTAGATTTTACTTTTTTACCTTGCGTAACGAATAAAACTTGCGCACATTAATTTAAAATCTGTTTCTTAACAGCACTAGACAATATTATATTTTAAATTATATTAAAAGACTCAGACATTTACACTCACTCTAATGCTGTTTTACCAAGTTAATATCTAATAATGTGTTATTAATTAAAATATTATTTGCATAGATTATGCACTAAATATATTAAATTGTTCATCAATGCATTTAAATTGAAAATAATTAACAAATTTATAAGTCATGCTTTCATTCTACATTTTACAGATGGAAACGTGAATGATACTTTTATTATTCAACCTAATACTGGTGCTGTACTTTTGGCAAAGAAACTAGATTGGGAAACAAAATCAAAATATAGCCTTAAAATTGGAGTTACAGATGGAATTTATAATAATACTTCAGTTGTAAGTAAATTTAAAAAAGAAATTACTAATTTATTTAATTTTACTTTAATACAATAATTTTAACTAAACACTTCATATTAATGAGGAAATCAAAATAAAAACATAAGTAATTTATCTTGTGATTTAATGATAAATGTTCATTTCTTTAAAATATATATTAAAATTTAACTAAATTTTAAAATCTGTTTTAATAAAGGAATATTGATTTGCCCGAAAATTACGATCTTCAAAAATTCATCTCCTGTAATAACCCGAACAATATAAGCAAAGGCCAAATTTTGTAGTTAATCAGAAATATAAATTGCCAAATTATTTTAAGTCTATATTTTTAAGTTAATTAAACTTAAAATATAGCTCAAAAATGATCTGGTGCTTACTTTTAGATCAAATATATTTTGTGTTAATTAAACTTAAAATATATTTGGGTTAAAGGTAAATGACTCAACTGTCAACCTGTAGGTCTAATTATATTGTTTAATTAATTACTGAATCTAATCCAAAAATAATCTGAAAATTTAGCATTGCGATTAATCTCTGACAATTCTTTACAATTTAATTTTCAAATAAACAAAATAAAAACAGCTAATTTTGAAATTTATTTCGTATGAAGCGTAAATTCCTTTGATTATGAATTGGATTTCAATTTATGTAAATTGAAATCTGTGAGTGTTTTTATTTCGAAATCTCAAGAGCTTATAACTTGTCATTATATAATAAATCATTGAATTACTTGAANATACTTTACAGATAACAAACAAGATACAGCTGATAGCAAAGTTTTCAATGAATTTAAATCAGTATCATTTTTAAATAGGTCATATGGGAATGGCACAAACAGATATATTTCATCACTTTAGATGAAATTAAAGATTCTTTATAAAGTTTTTGAAATATTCAGCTATTTTTTTTTAAACAGAAAATCATACTTTGGATGTGAATAATGAATACTTTTGTCAAATTTATTTCGATTCTTCGGAGAGAAATTTATTTTTTTATATAGCCCGAGAGTGCCCTTTAAAATAATAATTTGTTCAATTATTTTACCTAAGTAGTCTTTTTTTAAAATTTATATTTGTTATAAAAGAATTTTATGTAATTCAGATCTAATTACTTTTTTCAACAAAATGTTTTTTACCATTCAATATTTAATCTTTGTCTTGTAAGTAGTTATTATCTGCTTTAATGGTAATTATTTTTTTCCATTTTGAGTAAAAGTATAATAAAATATCTCTATTCAAATTTAGAAAAGATAAATGAGATCTTAGTTCTTCAGACCAATTTATATCTTCAATGGTAAAAGTTTTTAAGAAATTCTAAAATGCATTATTTTGTTGTAAAAACTAGTTTACTATAACCAATTTTGTTTATAAAAATACTTAGATTTATTTATTAAGTCCAAAAACAACAAAGATAATGATAAAATAATTATGTTACTCTTACAATGATTAACCTACATTGTGATTTGAATATAGAAAATTGATTATATTATTAACTTTGATATATGGAATGATTATAAAATTCTATGCATGGTAATTAGAAATTTTTTATATGCTTTACTGAACATTTTTTGCCATGTTCAGTGGTAAAGCATAATTTTTTGTGAGAGTGAAGATACGAAGACCCAAGAAATACAAATATGGGGAATTTTTGCTCACCAAGGGATTATGAAATGTGCCATAGGTAGTTTCACTCCAGCATACATGATACATGACTGCTAACTTAGACTGGCACATACTTAGGTAATGGGGTGCTTTTAAAATATGCTGCCAAGTGTTAAGTTACTCAGTAGAGCTAGTAAATTATAATCTTGTCAGAATTTTTTCTAAAACAAATCTACAGACAGATAATATTAATAAGAGTATCGAATCAATAATCAGTACACACTATAATACTTTCAGGATGAAGATATCTATCTTCCATATGCTGCTATCCCACTAAACATGTTGAAATAAGCTATTTCAAGACATTCATTCAATTGGTGTAAGGCAGAGTTGAAAAGTTTCTCTTTCACAATGCCCCAAAATGAATCATTGCAACTCTGAACTTCAAAGAAATCACATTGCATCCAATCAATCATCCACTGAATTTGTCATTGAAATACTCTCTAACTGGAAAACCCAGGACACAATATCATGCATAGGAATTCTGTGACCACTCCATAATATATTATTTTGATATTTAATAAAAGAATTTTATTTTTCTCCGTTTTTTGATATTATGAGAAATTCCATAAGGATCTCAATTATTCATTTTTCTCTACAAAGACATGATTTTTTAAGCTCATGTATTAAAGAAAATATTTTATGCAAAAACATTATGCTCAGTCTGACAATAATCTGATACTAAATATTCAAAAATTCTTAATTTCTCTATGCTTTTTTTCAGCCAGTATTTCAATTAAATATATAAGCAGAATTATTAATTTATTCTGCCCAAAGTCCAGGATTTTCATATAAAATTTATGATAAAGTTATTCAGGTTACATAAAGAGTCTTTCTTAACACTGAAATGAAATATTTTAAAACCATTTAATATGATGTTATTTATTTATTTTCACTAAACTTGATAAAGTGTTAATAGCCATTTTTGAATAGTTGAGACCAGTGATTCTCGACCACTGTGCCGCGGAACTTTAGTGTGCTGCGAGATTTTTGAAGTGTGCCGCCACTGAGAATACCCATACATAAACGACGTCCGACAAGTAATTTAATTAGTTCTACCTTCCTAGGATGCATTTGAAAATTGTAATTGGTGTTACCGGTAACAACAAGACGTTTTGAAAACGTAACCTAAATAATCAAACTGTGTTTAAAAATCACTGTTATAACATCACCGGTTGTCCTGTGGTACTTACCAAAGTAACCATGTGTGCTGCCAAATTATTAAAAGTGTACCGTGATGAAAAAAAGGTTGAGAATCACTGGTCTAGACATTTTCATATCTTATTTCCTTTCAGTTCAATTTCAAATAAAAATTCTGAAATTATAAGAAACAATAAATATTTAATAAGTAAGCAGTAGTAGACAAAATATAAATATTACTAACACAAAAAAACAAGCATATATGCTTTTACTGAATAATGTCAACACAGTTTTATCTTTTTGACAGATGTCTTTGTCATGCTGTCTACACTTCAGGAGCATATATAAACGTTGATAATGTCAGACTTGATTATCTCTAACCTTCAAAAACTTTTTAAATGTCATCTGGCTGTTAGATATCTTTCTTTAGAGTAACATTATCAATGTTTTAGACTATTCTTGAAATTGAAAGGCATAAAAATTATATTCATTAATTGTTTTTAATAAACATTTTTTTTTAATTGAAATATACTCAAAATTCAAGTAACTCAAAAATATCTCAAAAAAAATTCTAAATATGCCAAATATACAAAGATTTAAACATATGCTTATTAGAAGAATAGTTTATGATGATGTTTCTTGAGTAAAATAAACAAATATTTAGTGTAATGATGATTTAGCATTGATATTTATAGCTATTGATACAGTGGTGCCCGCAGACCATAGAAAAGGGAAACTATAATAAAAAATCATATATTATGCAAGAAGCTTTAAATTATGATTTAATGTTGAATCAGTGTTCCTACAAGATGGCACTGGTTGCATTTGGGCTAACTTTGCCTTGAAAATTTATATTCAAGGCAAGTTTTGTCAACATCCAATGAAGTTGCCTGAGACGATGGACAAATATTGTTCGTTAGTTTCTTTTATATTTGCTAAACCAAACAATCACCATTCTTTTATATTTGCAGAATAGGTTAGAAGTCGTGAATTTTCTGTTATTTGTTAGTAAGGGAAGCTGAGGTCCCTTTGGTGATTAGAAAGAGGGTAACCAAGACAGAAAGGTAGCATGTACCCCAATGTGCAGGCTATTGATGTATAAATTTGTTAATCTCAATGTTTTTTAATACAGTAGATCATTTTTATAACAAAGGTTTTATTTAATATTGCTTTGGATATAAGAGTGAGCCAAAATATCAAAAAAAATTAGATTTAATGTAAATTCTAATAAATAGAGGAGATTCTGTATTTATGAAGGAAAGATGAATACTACAGATAACAAATCTTTAAACTTATTGCTTATAGTTTAGACCAGGGGTGGAAAACCTATGGCACACATGCCCAAAGTGCAGTGGCGGCCTTAGGGGGTGGCGAGCAGGGCAATCGCCCGGGGCCTCGCTCTTGGAGGGGCCTCACGCAACAACCAAGTAGAAAAAAGTTGATATTTAAAACTTTTTATTTTATCCTTGGCTATTAGTTATAACAATAAAATAAATTTAATTTATAGTACAGTATATATTAATATTAATAAGTGCCTACTATTTCAATTCACATACTTTGCACAAAGGACAAGGGCCTCACAATGGATAAGGCCGCCGCTGCCAAAGTGTATGTGCCACTTTGGGAGAAATCATCTGGCATGTAACGTATCATATCATTTCAATTTATCATCTGTTATTTTCAATCATCCTTGCGGTTTATTAACTAATCATTCTTTTTTCAATCAACTTTTCTACATTTATTCTAATTAAAGCACATTCGTTTAATTTATTTAAATATCTTTATTTGAAGTATAAAACTTTGGCATGCATAAATATCTTTAAAGCTAAGTATGCTTACTATATGGCATGCAGGCACAAAAAGGTTTGCCACCCCTAGTCTAGACCTTTGTTCACTGGACACATGGATTTATTGTAAAATACATAAAGTAAAAATACATCTGAGGCTCTCAATAGTATGAAAGTCATAAAAAACTCACAGAGGACTGCAGGCTATGTGTGCTTACAGTAGATTATTGTTTTACCACTTCTCAGTTATAGTTTTTCATTTTAATGACTGTAAAAAATTATAGAAAACTTATACTAGAGATGTATTATGAATTTGCATTTTTTGATAATAATAAATATAAATGTTATTGTATACCTTTAACAGCATGCACCAATGCTAAATAAAGCAACAGTTTTTAACATTTACCATAACTATGTATTAGCATTACTTTTTGTTTAATTATTTACTATCAGAAGAGTTCATAACCTAGTGCTCAGGATCTTTTGTTCCCTCTGCCTCTGTTACATATCTGATTATTTATGAAGTGTCATATTTTTCTGTTTACTATTTTAGTGTAGTATTATATGTAAGATGCCAACTGTTTGAAAATATTCTGAGAAACGACTAAGGAGTGGTTTTTTAACTCATCCATTCTTTCCCACTAGTTTACATTTTTATTATTTTTCATTTTTTTTTACAATCGTATTCTGTCCTATGGGCACTAAGGAGACTTTTTCAAGCCCACAATTGCCAGCAGAATGGTGAGAAAGACAGTTTCTTTATATATCTGGAACAGACTGCCCATGAAAAATTCCTAGGAGTACTCAACCAGATTTGATCCCTGGTACCCAAAGCAATAGACTGAGGTCTTAACTGCCTCTGCCATCTAGCTGTTCATCATCATCATCATCATCAAGGGAAAGAAAAAATGTTTCTGAATTTAATTGTATGTTTTCTTTTGCTCATCACTTTTTCAAGGTTTTTTCACACTGTGTTTGGAATTTTTTACTCTGAAAGTTGGCATCCTAATTATATGTAGTAATATAAATTGTTTTTCCAGGTATAGAATTTTAAATTGATTTATAACATTGAATCTATGGAAAATCAGAGTGCTATTTACATCTTTAATGATACTTTATCAGGAATTAATTAAGTTATTAAAGTGAAATCTACTATATTCATTATTGATTTGATAACTTTTATATTTGTATTTTTATTAATATATTATGAAACTAATTTTATGCAAAACTTTTAGAATTTTTATTTTTAAAACATTTAAAAATATTTAAAATATTAAACAATTTGTATATAATTAATGTGAAAATTTGCTAATAATAATTAATGCTTCTAAAAATTTTTTAAAGTATAAATATTATTATATTACGATATAAAAACACTCGTAATAAATATTTAACAGACTGTTTTCGATCTTAACAGCTTCACATCGATGTCATGGATATTAATGATCATCATCCCGAATTCAACGAAAAGATGTATGTTGTTGACATATCAGAAAATATATCAGTCGGCACCGAAATTCTTCAGCTGGTTGCTACAGATCGAGATAAAGATAAACGTCTATTTTACAGTATACATAATAGGTATGTTTATAGTTTATCATAATATAGTTATAAAATTCCTATGAATATTTATTTATTATTATTTATTGTTTTAATATTTTAATTTCAACAACTAACATAATTGATTATAATTAATTATAATCCTAATCCTAATGAATAATGTTAATAAATTATATACATAATCCAGAAAGATAGGGATAATATTCTTTATCCTTAATCAAAAAAGCTGTAATAAATATAACTTTATTAACATTTGTTTGACTGAATTTATTACAAAATTTTGTAATGTGTATAAGAGTTTTTTATAAAATTAATTTAAAATTTTTTATGGTTAAATGTATATATCTCAGTAATATATACATGATCTTCCAAAAAAATGCTACCATTTTAAGTTATTTTAATTATACAATTATTATCTGAGAATGTTGTAATATATTGATACATTAAAATATTGGAAAATGTCACATTTTTCCATTGCAATTTCTTAATGTACTGTACAAGTCCTGTCATACAGCACATATCCAACAATATTCAAATTCTTCCTATCATATCCATTGTCACTCCTTCCACAGCAGCCACAATTCTACAACTGCTGATTACCCATGTTGCACAATAATGAGCGATTCAGACTTTGCAAACTGGAGAACACAAAACATCTTCTCTATTGCAAAGTTGCCATTTTTGTTTATTGTGCTTCTTAGAGGTAATAGACAAGACATTTGAATGCAAGTGGGAGATAAAACTTGGACAGTTACCCTGTTAAGTAGTGTGTGTTGCATTCTTCTCAGATAATAGTTAACATAATTACTGTAATTTGAAATGGTAGCATTCTTTTTTGGAAGACCCTGTATATATGAATTATAAGAATATATTTATAAATGTTAAATTATATAAAATTTACAAAGATTTTTTTCTCTTTCGAAATAAATTACTTTACTTCTATCAATAAAGAATAAAATATATTCAGCAGAAATCTAATCTTTTCTGAATAATGTTCATTAATTATAAAATTATACACAGAAATTATTATAAACAAATTTGTAACTTTTAAAATTTTTTTTTTTTAATTCTTAAATAAGTCTGCATCAATATATTATAAATTATATAAAATCCTTTTAAATTTCTAAGACAGAAGCACAAATGACAAAATCTTTAGGACAAAAACCCGAAAATCCTTTTCAATTAATTATTACATATTTAAAAAAGATTAAAATATAATCATACCAAAATTACTTGTATATTTTTTTAATTATATACAAATTATAGTTATTTAAATTCAATATTTATGAAACCATAAAATTATAAACTTTTCAATTATATATGTAGTTGCTTATATAATTTGCATAGATTTATGAAAGAGAGATTTTAATAATAAATATATCTTTAATATCTTAATAAAATATAATAAACATTACAAAGTTATAACACAGTTATAATAATAAAGAGATATTTGTTGTTCTGCTAATGAGGTTTTGTATACATGTTCATTGCAGTTTAGTCTTTGGGATTTTACCATTTCAGTTTCTGTACAGCCACAATAAAAGTTATGTGGAAACTAAACCAGTTGATGTAAAATTCAATAGTTTACAATGTAAAAGATTTTATAATCCAATCTTACTAAATTATTATATACAACTAACATTTTCAATCATTTTTAAATTTATATTTAAACTAGCTGTTACCCGTGATTTTGCTTGCATGGATTTTGCAAGCAAACCCCATTTATATTCAGTATTTCAACAACCATAGTAATTGTTATATAACACCTACCACTGAATATGATGAGAATTGCTCAGAATCAAACAAACTGTTTTCAATTTGATCAATTTTCTGGAATGTTTACAATCGTTCTATAATCAAACCAATATGCAATAACAAATTCGAATTTAAAACGGTTCGAANATCTGAGAATGTTGTAATATATTGATACATTAAAATATTGGAAAATGTCACATTTTTCCATTGCAATTTCTTAATGTACTGTACAAGTCCTGTCATACAGCACATATCCAACAATATTCAAATTCTTCCTATCATATCCATTGTCACTCCTTCCACAGCAGCCACAATTCTACAACTGCTGATTACCCATGTTGCACAATAATGAGCGATTCAGACTTTGCAAACTGGAGAACACAAAACATCTTCTCTATTGCAAAGTTGCCATTTTTGTTTATTGTGCTTCTTAGAGGTAATAGACAAGACATTTGAATGCAAGTGGGAGATAAAACTTGGACAGTTACCCTGTTAAGTAGTGTGTGTTGCATTCTTCTCAGATAATAGTTAACATAATTACTGTAATTTGAAATGGTAGCATTCTTTTTTGGAAGACCCTGTATATATGAATTATAAGAATTAACCTTGTAGAAAGAAGTGGACACAATTCTGAAATACAAAAAAATTATATTATTTTACACTTATATTTTTGGTTTTGTACTATATATTTTCCTGTTTAAATGGTATTTATGGTAATTTGCTCTAGGCTGTGGGCCTGGAACAGATTATCTCTATCTCTAAATACATATACTTCAATACATGCTAGAACAGATGCTATAACAAACAAGATTCTAGAACCATTTGTTCTAGCACAACCCTCTGTATATTTTATAGAAAATAAGCAAAATTAATTTTAAATTTTACTACTAAATTATAAAATGAATCTAACATTTTTTTCAAGAGATGCTGTCTTAAAATGTTCATCAATAAAATGAGCTCCAGATAATAATTCTTCAAAATTATCCATTCCTGAATAAAATAAAAGATAACACTTTAATTAATTATATATAAGAAAAATTTAAGAACTTCAAATTTATCATATAATGTTTTATAAAAATGCCAATTTTTTTACACAAAATTTATACAATTCAAGGTGTTATATAAAGAATTATGATACTACTGTCTGACTACAGATCCCGGAGCCCTATTTGGCAGATTTCCAGGAATGGTCTGTTTCCATGCTGGATGAGAAAAATGGAACAAATGCAAATCAGTGCTCATTGTTCAGCATTGTTGTTGAGCTATAGTTTACCATTTTTCTTTCTATACAATAGTGTACATTTGTATTGAATTAATTTGATTATAGATCCAACATCTTCACATGTTTAGGTAACAAACAATTTTGAGGTCAAAGCAGGTGCATTATTCATAATGTGCTTATTATTATTTGCAAGCAATTTAGCCAAATTAATAAGTATAGATTCTGAAGGGTAAATTGTTAATACAATAACTATTAATTGAGTTCTAATTTTATTTATGAATTTGTTTACCAAAGTAAACTAACTTATTTCTGAAGTAACTGCTCTATTTTCATAATAGACTGTCTTTTTTGTCCATGCACAATAATGTCTGGGCTCTCTTCATCTGTGGCCTGATAGTATATATCATTAATAATTAAAGTTTATTATTATTAATTTAAAATTAGAGCCATACAAGTTAAATTAATATTAGATGCATTTAATTTATGCTTATATATATATATATATATATACTGCATATATTTTTAATCTTATATATACACATTATTATTATGTGTACACAAGTATTCTCAGAGGAATCTTTACTAATTAAACATTACTTTTATTTGTAGAGACTTTAAAAAATAATATAATGGCAGATATAAGTATTAATATATAGAAAAACATTTTTGCAAAAGCTAATAACAAATACTGATTTTCAATTCCTACATGATATGTAACAATGGGATTTTTCTTTTCTTGCCCAATATAATTTCTATACTTATTATTCACATTACATATATATTATTATTCACATTACAGCATAATTTCAATATTTAATTTATTAGAATCTTGTATAAGAAATAAATCTTCCATAGTAAAAAGTAANAATGTTATTATATTTTCCAAGTATTTAAAATTATTGAAAATATAATAATCTGTGCTGGATTATAAAAAAGTTTTGATACTAAAGTTTTGAACCTTTATATCAAAAGAAGTCAAACGATTAAATCTACTATTGGCCAAAAGTATTACAACAGTTGCAACTTCATTACTTTTCATGAAAGTGTTTATTTTTTTCCTGCTTGCCTATTTAAATTCATTAAGCAATTGCTTTGCACAATTCCTTTGCTGAGGAAATTGTTATTAAGGTATGGTTTTATGAAATCACTATTGATTTATGCTAGATAATATTCTATGACTTAGAGAGTGGCAACAATTATTATGATTATGAATGAAGATAGGACAATTAAATGCTAATTTATTTTGTATGTAAGAAACAGGTCTAACTGAAGTTCCTCTTTCTGGAAGCAGTTGTTGCATGCTTCAATGCTATTTCCTTTTATATGAAATTTGTATACAGTAAAGTATGTAATAATATCAAAAAAAAACTATTCTTTTAGTATTACTAATAAAGTAATTCATGTGTAGTATACCCAATTAGTTTTTTTTTTGTATGAAAACATAAACCGTGTTACTGTGATTTTATTCCATAACTCAAAACCAGGCTGAAAAAAGCTAAATTATCATTTTTTGCCATTTTTGTATTATTTAATTGATATATTATCATTGTTTTTGTCTATTGAAAATTTTTCACTTACAGCAATAAATGATATAAGTTTAAAATACAACTTTATATAGAAACATTATTTATGTTCATTTTTATTTCAGTGCTAATCCTCATAGTGTTCGAAAATTTCGGGTGGATTCAACTCAAGGAATTGTTTCAATTGCTCAACCATTAGATCACGAAGTTACACTCCAACATATTTTGACAGTCATGGTAAAAGATAATGGTACACCATCTAAACAGAGTTTTGCACGTGTGATTATAAATGTACTTGATCACAATGATCATACACCGGAATTTCTGACATCTATGATCGAAGGACAAATTTTTGAAACTGCAACAATTGGTACATCAGTTGTTCAGGTTTTAGCCATTGATCGAGATAAGGGAAAGAATGCACAAATATCATATTCAATTGTATCTGGTAATTATGATTTTAATAACTTTACGTATATAAAAGCTTTATGATAATCAGTGAGAGTAATTCTGTGGCTTGAAAGAATATGGGTCAGTTGCCTTTGACATTGGCCCATATTCTTCCGAGCCATAAAAGTATCATTTAGATTAAAAATAAATTATTAAATTTATACAATTCATAAATTTCTTTATATATATGTGATACAATACATGAAAAGTTATCCTAACTGTAAGTCAAAAAAGTAAATTTTGCTGTAGAGTAAAAATTGCAATCAAAGACAAAATTGTAGATATTTCAGGTTTCAATGCCATTATTATTCCTTTAGCTAGGTGTTAGTACAAATTCAGTAATTAAGTTCCTTTATATGAATGTAATTTTATAACTTTTTTAATGCAAATTTGAAGAAAACTTTTAAAGCCATTTTTCTCAGAATTATTATTTTACAAACTTAATTTTCAAAACTGTATCTTACTGAATTTTTAACCAATCAAACCTTTCTTTTAAATACTCCTCTTAGTCTAGAATACGATGCACTTGAAAAATGTAAATTGATTTTTCTGACCTAAGGAGCCTTTTCATATCAGATATATCGCATCATATATACATGAATGAACAGAATTAAAATCCACCTGTTAAAACACACTACTGTATATCAAGGTCATGCACACCAGGAGGTTTTTGGTAGTTTAACACCTTCCATTTGGGAAGAATTGGACTATGTTAATAAAGTAATACATTGTATATAGCTTATATATAACATATTTACAATTAATTTATTGAAACTGCTTTGTTCTAATGCTTATACATTTCAGAAAACAGAGGTTCAAATATATTTTAAAATACAGGGTAGGTCAAAAGTAGGTATACAGTTAGAAGCCAGTAAGTGTATACAGGTATACCTCGACTTACGTCGTTTCGAGTTACGTCGTTCCCGATTATACGTCGTTTGTCAAAAAAGTATACGGAAAAATAAAAATCAAGTTTAAGTCATTTTATTCGACTTTACGTCTGTCCGCCACAAATATTGAAGTCGTAATATCA